CGCAGTCCCTACTGCTAGCAGCAACAGCAGGCAGGGGATGATACTTATACTTGGTGCAGGCACTGGCGCTCAGAAGGGCACGGCTACAGCCAGTGCTGCGCATGGGGGCAAGCACAGCTCGGCTGCCTCTATCGCAGGGGCTCTGTGCAACACATCTGCAGCTCCCACACACACAACAGGTGAAGCCACGCACTGGAGCTGGCTACCTTCCCCACTCCCTGCCATGCAGGTCCCCAGACTCTTCTGGGAGTGGAGGGAGCCCCACTCCCTGCAGAGTCCAGCATAGGGCTTCCCCTGGTGCGAGTGTGGGAGCTGCAGGCGCACAGCATGGAACCCCTGTGATAAGAGGCAGCCAGCCAGGTTGTGCTCTTCCATCCCCCCGCCCCATGCACAGCACCCACCTGAGCTGTGCCCCACCAGGCACCAGCACCAGGCACAAGCACCCCCAAATGCTGCTGCTTCTGGCAGTGGGGGCAGCATACCATGTGGGGGACTGTATGAGGGTTCCCCACACCCCTGAACTGACATATACACATATACCAAAATACCCTATGGCCCCCCCCACCATATCCCCCATGATTTGCATATTGCCCTCTATATAGACTAGGAAAATACAAATCATGACAAAATATTTTTTCTAATAAAATTAATGTTATAGTAGGTGCTTCACTTTTATTATATGATTTGGGTTTTTTTTTCTGGTTTTAAGATGGCAACCCCCTTCCCAAAACAAGTATGGAGGGAGGTAAGGGGAAGAACTTCTGGTGGAAAAGGTCAGGAGTCAGCGAGTGCGACTTCCAGTCCCAATATGGCAACCAGGGGGCAGGGCTACCCACGTAGTCTTCACAGTACATCAAAACTCATTAAGCAGCCCTCCAGCCAAAATCTGCCCACCCCAATTGCCCACATTACATTAGACTACCGTGAATCCTGATGCAACATAGACCTACCACCCTAGCCTGCCACAGGTAAAACAAGGGAATCATGGTAGCTAATGTCCTGCTTCTATAAAATGTTGTCAATATGTGCTCAAGAGATTCCAGGTAAAGGGCCAGGCAGAGGGAAGACTACTGAGAAAAGCAAAAACCCTTACAAGTCCATACTAATCTGACCAGGGGGTAAAACATGGCGATTGGTTTGACCCTGAATGCAAGGGCAAGACCCTCTAACCAGGAACCTCTGGCTTTGATTCCAGAAGGAGAATTGGCACAGCCCAGTCAAAGTCCCCAGGCTTGGCTGTAGCTACCACCCAATGTCTTCAAAAGAGGTTTAAAAGCACCCTGACGTATTTCGGGGGAGGGGGGCAGGAGGGAAATCAGCAAAGCCCAGGAGCATGGAAAATACCCGTAGCAGAACATAGATACAGCTAGATCATTCCTGCCCAGTGGCTGGCCAACCTCTTTTTGAACACCCACAGCAATGGAGAGTCCACAGCCTCCCTACATATCATATATGAAAGAGAGTGAATGTTTAAAAAGCTAAAGCTAAGAGAGATTGGTCTTTTATGATCACGTAAGCCCCATTTAATACTCTTTTTCCTTCAGAAGGAATAAGTTTTCTGCATAAACAACAAGGAAAAAAAGGGTGAAACAGAACTAGAAGCAAACCAAAGAAGTCAGTGCAAGTTTAATGAAGCACTAGTTAGTCCAAAAAAACCCATACATTCAGAACTTACCTTTTAAGACAAAGCAATGTTTGGCAACTTGTATGACTACTGAGAAGGTACTTTTGGAGATATGAAGTACAGAGATAGGGGTACAGGGTGGAGGATAGGGCTGGGGAACAAGCTGGAAGAGAAAGCCATTTTTTGTCACGGCCTAATACCCGAAGCCTCTGGAAGGTCTCGGATGCATGGCGTTTGTTCAAACGTACTCTCATCTATACAAGGTATTATAACCTTAAAAGCTTTCCTTCAGACAAAAAGTATTAATGGGTTATTGTAATTTAAGTGGTACTAATTAAAAAAAAATCTTCCATGTTATTCAACACTTTACTCTTGGTACCTGTACTCTTATCTATACTATACTATAACCTGTACCCCTTGGTAGCTATACCTTTCACTAATCTCCAAGTCATTACCTTTTCAACTGAGACTTCAAATTTTAATGTAGAAGAAAAAGTTCTTTGAAAATAAAATCTACTAAAATCAAAGTGGTTTATTTTGGAAAGCAGCAGCAGTTTCCATCTAGCATACAAGATCTGTCTAATGCAAATATCCTGATTTTTTTTTCTTCTTTATACTCAAGGACTCAAAAAGACTTAAAGCTGTCACCCTTACACTTCAAAAACGGGTGTTCAGAAGCATAATATGAAGGATAAAACTTCTCATAATAGTGGAAAGAGGAAACATATCAAGCTCTTCCTTCCAGCAAAAATATTTTTTTCTGATTTAACAGTTTAGTTGTGGGATGAGTCCAAGACCAAGTGCCAGCTCAGAAATGCCTAGGTAGCCTTACATTTTTAGCACGTCAAGTCATCACACAACTTTGAGCTTAAATACAGTACATTATAAATGCTTGTTCAAGAAAACACTACATTCAAATCTCAACCAAGAGAAAATAAATGTACTACTACTCATTTCTCTACACAATGAGTTCCATAATGCTAATAAACAACAACTGAAATAATTAAGTACTAAACAACGTGAGAATAAAGATACAAGTAAGTTGGCCCTGTTTGTAAAGAACTTTAAAAAGGTGAGGAGGCAGTGTGCATTTAAGAACTGAACTAGAAATAAGGAGGCCTAGGTACCAACGAGTTTTCCTAATAAGCTTCTGTGTGACAATGGAGCAGTTTAATTTTTCTGTCCCAAGGAATTTCTCCATTTGTAGAAATAAGGCAAAATACATTATTCATATCTAAGAGCTTAATCATTACAGAATTGCTCACAAAAATATTGCATTTAGTACCGTTTTCTATTGAGTCAGCATCTTATACTTAAGACAGGGGCCAGCAATGTTTTTGGGCAGAGCAAAATGCCAAAACATCTGCAACTTGGACTTGTAAGATGCTGGTGTGTCAGAAGCAGACAGCAGGGCAGGCCTGATCCTTGTTGTGGCAGCGCAGCCTCAGCCACTTCCCCACCATCCTCCCCCACACACATATGCACCTTCCACCCGCAGTGAACCAGTCTAGGGCTCCGCAGACCACAGTGCTGCTGCTTACAGCCTCCCTGCTGCCAGCCACAGAGCTCAAGCTGCTCACAGCAGGCAGTGGGGAGGCTGAAAGCAACTGCACCAGGACCCATAGAGCCCCAGACCAGCTTGCTGCCAGCAGTGGGTGCACACGTGCCTCGAGTTGGATGGCAGGGAAGGGGTCCGGGCTACACTGCTACAACAAGGATTGGGTCCCTTGCAGCTCTCGTTTGCCCCATGGTGCTTGTGACAAGCAAAATGCCTTTGTGTGCCATGCTCGGGCACGTGTGCTAAGGTTGCCTACTCTGACCTAAAGCAAAGCTAGACTTTGAGGGTGTTTGAGAATCCTACATGTCATACTTTGCACTGTATAGTTATCTTTTCTCAAGATAGATTTCATCCAATCTTAGTGATGAGTTCATAAAACACGTCGCACATATTGGGCTGTATTAACAATGGTGGTAAGTGTGCAAGAACCAATCAGAATATTTTTGGAGAAAGTCTAATATTAAGAGCTGAGCCCCAAGATATACATGTTCAAAATGCACCGTTTTGCTTGGAGGTGCCTACCTGGCCAAGGCAGGGGCAGGTACTCCTCGCGCTCGTATTGGTGGTTTTCCACGAACAACTGGAACTTCTGCATTTTCTGAGCCGCCATTTAAATACGTTAACTCTTGCAGCTGTGCCTGTCTGATTTCATCATTGTAGTCCTAGACAGAAGGGGGAAGAAAGCTAAATTAACCACTTCAGGAAAATATTACTGAAAAGCATCATTTCCATTTTTATGCTGTTCTAGATGAACTTCTTGCTGAAAACCTGCTAGAAGCAGTTCCAAAACATCTCAACATGGGGACTCCATTTCAACTTAAATCTTGTTAAGATCTGTATATCAAATGTAACATTTCTCTTATGTTTTTGTTCAAATCCTATTTTCTTCTCCAGGACTGACCATTGCCTAACTGATTTTTCATTTAATTAACAAAAGAAAAACAATCCACCAAAAATCCTACTAGTATCTGAAAATATTATATGCCTCTTAATTTCGAATGAGCATCCGAGTTCTGTTTATGTAATGAAGTCCCATTGAAATGTGGCAATAGTCCTATTGCTTCAGTCAGCAGTTAAGTTGCAGTTCAAGGCATTGTATTAATGGAGATCAATCCTTCACTAAGAAAGGACAGATAAAATGACCCAAGCCAACAGATTATTTTCTTTCTTGAAATCGGAGTTTGTTTATTAATTCTTACAAGAGAATACAAACTCAGACGTACTAGATATATTCACATTCCTCCAAAAAGTTGTTCAAGAAAGCCATAGAGTTTATAAATGCCATCTAAAAAAACCCAGCTTTTAGAGTAGTTCTCAAACAGGGAGGTTTTCAGATGCTGAGTTATCCTCCAAATCCAGTACATAAGGAGGCAATGAAATGGAGGCTATAAAGCTAATGAGGAATCCTAACGACTGCATTTCTTCCTTTTTTTTTTGTTTTTAGATCCCCGCCCCCTCCCGCTTGCTATTGGTCGACCAAGAAATGTAGTTTTAGGGTAAAAACCAGAAAGATTTTATTTAGGATAGACAAATTCAAAGTGGTCTAATTTATCTTTTCCAATTTCAACTAGTAAATCCAGCATGGATCACTTCCTTTTTTATTATTTCTGGACAACACGTTTATTTGCTCTCTTCTGGTCCCCTGCCACCAATCTCCCCCCTGCCCCAAGTGTAAATACAGTACTATATCCATTTTATGAACAGGAGATAGATGACTGATTTGGATTGCATTAGCATGTGCCAGTTTTCTGAGAAGAGGGGAAGATCTCTGTAAATGCAGTATGTGGTAACCCATTTGAAATTCTGATTGCAGCCACGTCTGTTGTAATTTGCTCCCATCATACCCAAATTTGACTACCAATCCCTGCTGGAAGAAAATACTATTGTCATTTTGTTGTCACCTAATCAGAAGATTACATGTGTATTTCTTTCAGAAGCCACATTTGGATTTGAGATCCTTTCCCTTCGGCTCTCTGAACGGACAAGTACAAGCTTTGTCTGAGAGGAAGAGGATAATATTTCTGGCACTGTTACAGGGGAAAGTCTTGTGTCAATTCTTTGACCCCTTTGGGAACTAAGTAGATAAGATCTAACCAAACAGATGATTGCATTAGAAACCCTTTTAGTAAACAGATACTAGAGAGTGCTGCATAAATATAACCTTGGAACAATAGTGAAGAACGGGTCTTGGAATAAGTCTTAGTTGATTTCCTTTAAATGGAAGTACTGTCAAACAGGGAATTTATTTAGCAGACCCTAAACATTCAGTCTCATGGGAATAAGGCCTTAAGGGTTATTCCTTGGAAGACTTCAGTAAGAAACAAGAGATTAATAAAACCTTAAGAGGAGGCAGAACACACTAGAAAACCTGTGTTCTGAAAGAAGCTTAAAGGCTAGGTACAGCTGCTACACAATCTGGAGCAAGGGATCAGAAATTGAACCAAACCCATAACCGTACCAAAGTTTGCAGCACAAAGACCAGACTAAAAATGGTGGAATCTGGTCTAAGATCATGCTAGAGCGATGTGCACTCATATATATATTCAAAGTAGGTTAGTCCAGTGTATTGAACTTCTGTACCAGATCCCTGTTCAAATAAGTTAGGTTGCCATCATCTGCTATCCCAGGCTCCCTCAGCTCAAACAGACAAGACATGCTCAAAGATTCCTAGTTGCTTTGCGTAAGCAGAGTAGTCGGTTACAACCCTGTGCTTAAAATCATTTATCAGAGATCATGTCAACTTTAAAACATTACTTTCACCTCTTGTTTTACCAGCTCTTCAAGAGCTTTGTAGTATTTAAGTTACCTTGCCTGCCAGAATACCTTCCTCTAACAAAGAGTAACAAGATAAGGTTATGCTTTGCTCTTTCCCCTTAGTTCATGCACTAAATTACTGATTGATCGTCTCTCTGGACTATATTTTTGTTAAACCAATTTTGGAATGAATCTTTTGCATTTAAGACTGACCTCATCTCTTGGAATACCTAATGTGTTTATTGAAGAAACTATATTCCCAAGAGGTATTTAGCTTCCAAATGAAAGATTCAAAGGGTTATTTGGACACTTATACTAGGAAAATAATTTGGAATCAAATAGTTTAATACTGTCTTTGTTAGATTGGATATTGATTTTTCTCTAGACAGATTTTTTTGCATTCAACTAACATGTTCTTTCACCTCTAATATCTTTAACTAAAGTGAATGACAGCTGATCTGCTGTATAAGACTATCTGTTACAGATAAGCAAATCAAAACTACAGAACAAGATGGAATCACTCCGTAACTTTCTTTTTAATACATGGTGGTATGGGGCAGAGGGTATGTCATAAGGCATTTCAGTTCAGGACACATGGTAGATCTGTCCTACCAACACCACACTACTAGAATTTCCGGAACTTAGGAAAAAAAAATCTAACAGATACCATATCCCAGGGGCCGGCAATCCCTGGCACGTGCTGAGCATGGTACACGAGGCCATTTTGCTCAGCACGCCACCACCAGCCCTGGCTCTGGGTAGCTGCTGCCAACCATGGAGCCCGGGCAGCTCCCAGCAGGTGGCTGGGAAGCTGCAGGCCCTGCTGCAAGATCCCGGGCTGCGTGGTTGGCAGCAGCTACCCAGAGCTGGGGCCGGATGCAGCAGGCAGGCTGCAAATAGCAGTGCCGGGCTCCGGCACATGCATACGTGCCTTGGAGCAGGTGGTAGGGGAGGGGCCTGAGGCAGCGCAACCCCCGTCTCTCCAACCCTGCCTGCACAGAGCTGATGGCAGGGCTCCAGAGCCTGGCACAGCTGTTTGTGGCCAGCCTGGGCTCCAGGCAGCTGCAGCAAGCAGGCTGCAAACAGCTGCACCAGGCTCCGCGACTCTGGCATTAGCCCCACGCTGGTGGCAACTGCGCATGCACCTCAGAGCGGACAGCGGGAGGGCTGCGCTGCCTTGGGGCCAGGCCCCATCCCCACTGTCTGCTCCAAAGTGTGCACACAGTCACCGCCAGCATGGAGCTGATGCCAGAGCTGTGGAGCCTGGCGTAGCTGTTTGCAGCCTGCCCACTGCTTGCTGCAGCTGCCCAGAGCCCAAACTGGCTACAAACAGCTGCACTGGGAGCCAGGGAGAGACTGAAGTTGCACTGCCTCAGGCCCCTCCCCAGCCCCCTGCTCCAAGGCATGCCTGTAGATGCCGGTACAGAATTGATGCCAGAGCCTGGTGCAGCTGTTTGCAGCGGCCCAGAGCCCAGGCTGGCTGCAAGTAGCTGCTCAGCACTCTGGAGCCCAGTCATCAGCTCTGTGCCCACAGCAGGGGAGAGGCTGGGGTTATGCTGCCTCAGGCCCCCTGCACCATCTGCTCCAAGGCACATGTGCAGCTGTTTGCAGACTCCCAGCTGCAGCCAGCCCCAGCTCTGGGTAGCTGCTTTCAACTACAGAGCCCGGGCTGCTTGCAGCTGAGCCAGCCTGATTCCCACCCGCTCCAAGCCCAGCACTGGCCCAGCCCTGCTACTGGGATGAGGCTGGCATTGGCGCTGCCCCTTGCCAGGAGCACCGCACC